CTCCCTTTGAAGCAGACTGGACAGCTTCCTCAAGCTGGCGTTATCACTCCCTCTAACCACTCTTGGCAGGCAATCTAATTCCCCCTGAAAAGGTCACCGCCATTTTAACTGCCTTTCAATCACATTAAGCACGCTGCCGCTCGTGCTCAGAGCGCTGCGCCTGCAGCTCTCCTGACTGAGGTGCGATCGATAAACTGACATCCCGTCCCCCCACCCGATCTCCCCAACCACCCCATCCGCCACTCGCCTCCTTCCCCTGTCCTGGACAAGCTGCCTTCCCGCAATGGACAGTAAGAGGCCAAGTGGCAAAATCCTCTCCTCAAATCCAAAGCAGCAGAAGGGAGCCGCTAACCTGGCATTTACTAATCTCTGTCCCATCTGCTAAGAAACAGAAGGGTGCAAGCATCCCCCCCCGCCTTCCCTAGACCTACAGAGGCAGCGACTTCACAGGACAGTTTGCTTAGGCACCGATCCAGACACCTTTGAAGCTGTGTTACAAAGAACAAGCCTCCCTCAAGCTTCCCTCAATGCAATCATTACCGTTATCTCTCCCCCCGTGCTTCTTTTTTTTGCAGTTACGAGTTATGTGTTCCACCCATCGATCCCTGTGTAAGACACTGTTTTAAGTCCTCTTGCCTTTTGACTGTGCTAAGCCGTTTAAGAGATGACAGCGGCTTCTATCAGTGCGAAGCTGATGTGATTCTTTTCAGATAAAGCACTTTTTTTTCACTCCCCCCCTCCCTTTCCCATCTTTCAAGTAAGAGACATACACACAAAAAGAGACACTGAATCTTTCAAAGAAAAAAAACCCTTTTGAACTTCCCTCAGGAATTCTTTAAAGGGATAACCTTATAGTGTAAACACTGAGGGTAACGTGCATCCATTCTGGAGAGGAACAGAAGAATTGCTACAAATATGTTGAGCATTATAAAAAAAAAAAAAAAAAAGCAACAGAGAGGAAGCCACTTGATGCTTTCACTTGTGAAGACTTGTTGGCTTCCTAAACATAGAAACTCATTAGACAAAGATGGCATGAAATAATCCCCTGCAACAAAGAGTTTCAGAGAAGGATGATCCAGAAACGTGGGGATAGACGGTTACTGAATGTGTGAGTACTTGAAGAGAAATTTTAGTCTTGTGACACTGTATTGAGATAGAGAAATGTTGGATTATTGATTATTATATATGTATAGCTTTTCACTGAAGTACGAGCTTGATTTAAACAGCGTTTGGTATTTCATGTGGATAGTCTTCTGCAGCTATCCCAAACAGAAGCAAGAACTCTCCTCCTACAAATCCCTACTTCAAGGGGGACCTCTGCTGAAACACAGCGGTTCCCAAATGCTATATAACTACCAGTAATGCTAATTTACACCCTGAATTCTTCCAGTTTTGGGTAAGCAAATTAAGTGATATCAAATGATGCTTTAAGAAGGCAGTACAGCTAGAAGTACCAAGTATTTCCCGACTGAATACTGTCACCAAACCCAACAGCTCAAGAGAAAACATACAGATCCCTGCACTTCTTGGTTACATCACATTCCTACTTGCTGACATCTCCTGTTCTTTCCACCTACTGCCTCAAATATGCCAAGCCATGGCAGGCAAGAAGGTGTGCTTTGGCTTTGCTGCACTAGACCTGACTGGGAATTTGCAGCTGTAACACCAACACAGAAGACAATTTCCACCTTTTAAGACAGACTGTCAGGTGAGAGGGGCAAGTCTTCCCTGCAAATACTTTGGAAGCAAGAAAGAATCAGCCTAGGAACCACACAAGTGAGTTTCAGCCTGTGATTGCTCCGAAGTATTAGACCACCTTCCAGAAAATCTGAGCAGGGCTGTTCATTTCTCTGACCTTTCTGTTTTCAAGAAGAAAAACGCAAATATCTACCAACCTTACCTCACTTGAGAGCCTAGCAGGATCTTTCATATAGTTAGCAAAGAGTTTTCCTCACCTTGAAGGTGATATGAACTTTGTCCATTAACCAAAAATGATGAAAAGAAGCAGCCAGGACCTGTGTTAAGTTTGAGTCACTTCTGTAATGCTGCCCAATGGTCTGACCGACTCATGCAATACACACTGGCCAGTGTCCTGTTCCCCTTTTGCCCATTTGTGACATCTCCTCAAAGCCATATACCATTAAAACAGAAATCAATGAGACACACGGACATCTATTTTCCCTTCTGGTTTTATGTATTTCCCCATGTCATTTCTTTAGACACTGGTGACATCCCTGTAGCCTGGCAAAGGCTGTCTGGTGTTATAAAAGGCCTTCGATTTCCACATCGCTGCTACTTCTCAGCAAAGGGAACAGAGCCATACATAAAGCCTCAGGTGACGGGGGTTAACGAGGGCCTTGCCAACTTCAGACAAAGCAGTTTTAAGTGTTGGAAATCACCTCCAAAACATTGTGCTGTGCTTCAGGGCTGTAAATTAAGAATTCTGTACCTAAAATAAGGCAAGAGCTAACACTGGCAGAGAAAGGAAAAAGACAGTCACCTTAAGGTACCTGAGAGTGCACAAAGCAGTCCTGACTGACGGAGACCTCTGAATGCCAGCAGCCAGAGACAATATGAGAACCACAAAAGAGAGCATGAAAAAGCATAACTTGCTTAAAAAGAAATACAATCAGCCAGCTACAGGAGATCATTCCTGCTTTGCTATAGCTTCCCCAATTTTACAGAAACTTCTCGCGCAAAGCACATGGGTACCCTACAGATACTATCTGGCCATCCCAAAATACCAGGTAGAAAGTTGGTGGGAAAACATTCCCCTGTTTAGGGAATAGGACACCTCTCTAGAGCAGTATGGCAGCTGCTGAGCCCAGCTGCCAGCAGAGGTGTGCTCCAGAGGAAGAGCAGGGAGAAACACACACACCAGGGACCTGCCAGCTGTTCAGGCAGAGTAATTTCTTCAGCTGTGGCTCTGCCACCAAAAGCTGCAGAGATGTTCCTCGCTACAAATGCTACAGAGAGGTTCCTGTGCTCGCGAGCTGACCTACAGGCATCTTCCATCCAACACCACATCGGGAGGGAGTCTAATCCAAAGCCTTCCCATCGGGGTAATTATGGAGGGTTTCAGAACTGCATCCATTTGTGCTCTACTCTCCTCCTAGTCTTCCAGTCCTTTGCTGGATCTGTTCACGTAATTAGACACTCTTGAAGGTATCATGAAGGTCTCAAAGACAAGAACAGACAGACCCCATATTTCCTGACGGCTATTTCTAAGTATGAAATAGACAGAAATACCTGCCCACGCGTGTGTAGCCATCTAGCAGAGGTTACAGCCCTGACTGATGCTAGAATCTACCTACTGGTGGACGAAAGCAGTTGATCTATTAATGCAAACTAGTGCACTTGATAATTCCTTAAATTAAGAAAGAAAATACAACAAGGAGCAAGCATTTTGCATTTACACAGTCTAATCACATCAATTACACACATTTTATCCATCTGAAGCCTCATTTGAAAGAGGGTGTCCATATGACTGAAGCAATACGAAAGGTTCAGATCACACTTCAGTGAATTAACTCAAAACCAACTGGGAACGTTAATCAGGTGAAGACAGCACAATGTTCACACCAAAGGAAGCAGAAGATTGAGGAAAACACAAGCCCAGGTGTTCGGTGGGGGTGAAGGAAGAAACTATGCATGCATTAAAAAAATGCAGAAATGAACTCAGTAGCTTTTTTCTAATCAGCACTAGCAGTGACAACAATGGGGGCACACAGACATCCCATGCTTCCCCGCTACAGACTGTAGTGACCATACCACATAAACATAGTCCAAGGCCCTGCATGGTCTTATTCAGACCTCTACCTGAATTGTGTACAGATGCAATACTCCATGCGGGCACAAAAAATGTAAAGGTAGGTAATGCTACAGACACAGGAAGCAACAGTGTGAGCTTCACTGGATAGCTTTTAAAACCCAAAGAAGCTGCTCCTTTACCTCTGTGCTCCTGATCATCTGCTCTGCTACAACCCAGCTACAATTTAATTTCAGAGGAAGGTAAGAGCAGATCAGGAGTGCTAGGTTGTCACTGAACACATGACTGGCTTTTAAGTCCAACTCCCTTATGTAGTAGCCTTTCCCCTTGAGAAATTTTAAATTAAAATCCAAGCTGATATAGGAAGAGATCACATCCCATCCTCTTTATTGAACGAAGGGAGCCAGCATTCCTCCTCTCATTAGGCATGCACTACGTGGATTGCTTGCGAGACTCTCCTTAGTGCCAGAGGTTCATGCCAACGAACAGTTTAGTAAATCCTCCTCTTCGAGGCCAAAGGGCTGAGTGTAAGAAAGGGGCCAGGTTTCCAGCTAAAATTACATTCACCAATAAAGCTCACGAGAGGTCAAATTTTGCCATAACTCACTCTCTCCTCAGTAACTGATTTCCCCATCACTGGGGAAGGAGCTAAAGAAGGAGAAAAAATAAAATGTGTTTGTCTGGGAGCCCTAAGGGCTTGCAGTGCTGGAGGTGCAGAGCAGGTTCCTGGATTCTCATTTATCAACCTTAAAAGGGATGGAGTGATAAATGCACAACTGGCCCTTTAATATTTTATGCAGGTGCTAAAGCGACTTAGCTGTCACCTTCAATATATCACCAGAGGCTGATACACCAGCTTTCGTCACTCCAGGCTGGGAATTTTTACAATTTCATTTCTATTTCCCTCTCTTCACATATTTCCATGTATTTCTTACTATGTGTAACATATAAGAAGCTATTTTCCCCAAATGATCTCCTCATTCTACCCATTCCCTCTTCAGCCACATTTCTTGAGCAAGAAATAACACCACACTTTTGTTCAGGATTTGCACAAATTTTGACTCTCATCATTCAAGAGAGGCAGAAAGCTGAAATCACTTTACATTCTGGCAAAGGCTGAAGGTTCTGCCCTTTGTAAACAGCAAATCTCCAGGTCCCTCCCTTTAAAGATAGGCAATGATCAACTTCCACAGCAGAATAATTTATAAGGTCCCCCAAAACACTGTCGCACCTCGAAATCCTCCCTCCAGGAGAGTAGTAGCCCGTATCCTCTTCTGCCCACACCATTCGTACTCTTCAAAGCGGTTGCCGTTCTCATTCTCGATGTCCACAGAGTCATCCTCAGTCATGCATGAACCTTCTCTCTGCACAGGGTAAAGCAGGGGCAGAGCGTTGAGATGCATGAAATAGATCTTTGGGGTTAATAACTCATGGTGGGATGGAGAAGGAAAGCTAGACTGTTCCCAGGATAGCTATAAGTACAGAGCAGACAGCAGCATCTACTCCCACCCCCACTCCCAGCAATTTACATCTAGAAGTAAATGGGTGCTGGAAGAACTTTACAAACTTAAGATCAAAACAAGTTGCAAGGTTTGTTATCTTTACACATGGAAGTTTAAGCTCTGGTTCCTACAGCAGTGCTGGTGTGCATTTCAACATGCATTCCCCTGCCTTGCATGCACAAATCCCCTATCATGTAAACCACAGATTCCCTTGACCCCCAGCAGGAATGTTCTCTAGAGCATATTTCTGGGGCACGCTGATCGAGAGACACCTCTCTCTAAACCATGCATCTCTTAAGGCAACAAGAATGAATTTGTTATTATCTCTATTGTGGGCTTTTCCTGAGAAACAAGCACAGAAAGTCCTATGACACAACTCTCTCCCTCCCCTAGGGCTTGTTCCTCCTCCTTCCTTGCTGTCTTTGGGATGAACAGCAAGAGAACAGTTCTGCTCAAATGTACTTCCTGGAATAAGATGCTCATGCAACATTTACAAATGCCAGTCTGTTAAAAAAGAACCCAACAAAAAAATAATTCTAATGTTGTCAAAGGCAGAGATCAGAAAGAACTCTTCCTGCTGTGCTACACAAGAAGCATTAAGTCCTACAAAAGGCTCCATAAACTTCAATAGCTCTACCCTTACAGTCTACAACTTAGACATCAATAACAACGAAAGGGTGCATGAAATAAAAAAGTTACTAATGCAACAACTCCAGAAGAATCCATCTTCCAAGACAAAGAGAATTGACTACAGATCTCAGGGAGACAGTTAGCATTGCCTGCAAGCTCAGGATTGTTAGTTTTTGCCCCATGTTAGGTCAACTGCAGACAAAGCTGGGAGAAGGGAGAAGGGAAAGGCAGCTGGCGATCCTGCTGCGCCTCTACCTTTGCAAGGCATTGTTCCACATGCCTACTCATCTCCTCCTCGGATCCTGACAGAGGTCGGCTGCAGAGGGGACATACCTGCCCTTCGTCTTGCTTCCTCCGTTTCATTTTTCCAATCCGAGCTGCATGGAGAAATCAGGGAAAGAAAACAAAAACAGAACAAAACAAAACAAAAAAAATAAGGAAGACATGTCAAGTTTGTAGATCCATTCTTCTTCCTATTTGCTCAGCTCCAATTAATAAACCCTTGGCAGAAACAGTACGATTTCACACCAGAAAATCCCATTGCAACTCCCTATTCTGACCTCCATAAACAGCACAGAGACTGTTACTTAACACTTTCCAGATTACATCTGCAAACTGTGGCCCAGTACTGCCTGATTTCAGAAAGGCAGCTACTCATGATTTAGTAACTACGAGAGGGAGTATCTGCTGCACATCCACAGGTAAGTTATTCAAATGGTTAAATACTTTCTGTTGGAAGCCTGAAATTGTCTTCAAAGTTGAGTGATCAAGCCACTGAATCCTGCTCTGGATTTTGCCTTCTACGTCCAAGACCCATCCACTAACACATCCATTCCCTACACAAAAACTTGCTTAGATCATAGAAGGATGGTGTAGCACCCAAAAAGCCTTGGACAAGCTATGTGTCACTTCCAGGACCACAAAGTCTCCTGTACACTCTAATTCCTTCCCAGAACATCACCAACAAGCCAGAGCAGCATCTTGGTAGCAGGCAATGTTTACAGAAAATAAAGATCTTTGCTGTGAAAAATGCAGCACCCATGCTAGATTGCTTCTGGCTCTCTGTTATTTTTATTCCACTATTTTCACATAGAGGAAAACTGGGGGCTACACTGCCTTCTTGAGGGCACACTGCAGGAAACAAACATGTTAGGAATCATGATGATTAGAAGAAGCAGACAAGGTAGCCTGTTGCTTAATCTAATCTCTGGTTAATTTGAGCCATCATTTAATGTGATCAAAACATCTGGAACCAAATCATTTGCATTAAAAAGAACTTCTATCCTTTATTATGATGGCTTTAGGCAGGTATTACCAAATAACTCAATCACTGGCTGCAGGAAAGTCACTGTTTAATTAATAAGGAAGGTCAAAATTCTGAATGAGAGACAAGGAAAAGCCCAAGGAAAGTCCATGTGATAATGAGAGATGACACCACCAAAAAGCTGCATTACTCAGAAATCATTACTGACTTTGTGAGCACTGCAGCATGCTCTGAAAGCCTTCGTGCCTGAATACTGTGCGATCAACAGCTCCCTGCAGCCAAGAAGTCAGAGAAAGCTGCTGGAATGCCAGGAAGAGAAGGACCAGGGTAAAGGAAAGTTTCTGTCAACTGTTTTCTAAAGTGCATCAGTTTAGTGCAGGCACATCACCAAATGAATCATAAAGTTTCAGCTGAACACACCAACACAGACCTGAAAGGCCTTTTTCAAGGCTTTCTTGTTGGCTTCCCTGGACTCAGGACTCTCCAAGTTAGGATATACTTTCCCACAATCCAGAACTAGGGAGCATTCTGATCCCTTACACTCTCTGATACTCCAGGATTAAGAAGGCTTCAAATTATTCCCTGGGCATTGCTTTTCCTCACTGAATGAGACAGATTTGTGGGAAAACTCCCTGCAAAATAAATCTCCACTCCCAGCATCATGAAAAGGATTTTGCAAATGTGACATTCCTAGAATAAGAGACAGCACCCTGAGACCAAAACAAGAGTGTTTTTGATACCTGGCACTTTGAACAATAGAGACTCTCAAGTAAATGCACACCACTTTCATTGCTTGTCTAAATTTTATTTACTGAAGCTCCACAACCCTCTCCTGTGTTGGGTATACCACAGTGACAGCTCCATAGCCCACCTGCCTCTCCATGTACTTCAGTATTCCTAGTGGGGTTTTTTAAGTTTCCCTTCAAATTTGTCTGCTTAAATCTATTATTTTACCCATACTGTCAGTATCCACTCCAGAAGATAAAGCACTTGACTTCCAGTCAATACAGAAGCAAACATCATGAAGTGTTATTGCTAATTTCATTGTGCCCAAATGTGTTCCACTTTTAAATAAAACAATGACTCCCAACATGTCTTCACCATTTCTGTCCCCTCCCTGAACCCCAAAATGCTATCCCTCCTCCTCCTTCAACATCATCCAGCCCTGTTACAGAAGTAGTCCGAGTTAAGCCATGCTATTTCTGGTTTGTACTTCACTGCACAAGAGACTTCTGAAGGTCTGGTTTAGTGAATACCTGTATCACCCAGTATGGCTCTTTTGTAGAAGTTTAGGATGCTCTTTCCTTGCATCACTAGCTCTGTGGGGCCAGCACAATATAGAGGAGGAGGCTGGAATCGGACATGACACACCCTTCTCTTACCTCATCCTGGTTTCAAACAGGGAAATATAGGGAAGGAGCAGTTTAATTATTCTGGTAGGACTCCCAGTGGCCAATCAATTAAGCTAAGTCAGGTCTGCCTGGCAAGCTCATTAGTATTTTTAACTTTTTTACTGCCATCCTATAGTCCATGCACTGTAATAGTGATAAAATGAGGACAACTTGTTTTAGGTCTTGCACTGATAAAATCTTGGGGCCATTTTGCCAGAACAAGCACCTGATCTGCTGTTGAAATGTTAGTGCAGAGCTGGGAACACAACCTCACTCTGCTCCAGCTCCATGGGAGACTCAGCAGACAGCCCCTACCTTGGCTCATGTAGCTCTGCCAAGAAGCAGCCCTTTAAGTTCTAGTGCCACGAGTGAAAAAGCCACTGGAAGAAAGAGGTGTTGAAACCAAATCCCGCTGCCATTGTCATTCTGTGGTCATTAACGGCGGCAGTGTGGTGCCCACGGAGGCCGAGGGTGCCCCTGGTGACTGCAGGAAGGGGAAGGGAATGCCACAGCCTCAAAAGCACATCCCCGAGCCGCGCTGTCCCCACCTGACATGACACGCAGCCTGGCTATCACTTCCAATCAGCACAGAAGGGCCAGAGCGGCCCCAAAGGCAGGGGGTGATTGTGGTGCTGTCCCAAAGGGGAGCAGCTCAAAAGAACACACAAGTGAGACCACAGGATTGTTAATTAGTGTTGATAGATGCGATCATTTCTAATTAGCTCACTAATCCCTCTCCCCCTCCCTCCTGTCGCAGGAGCATGGGAGAGGGAGAAAAAAAGAAAAGCCATTCCCTCTCATAATTCAGGAAAATAAAAATGCAGCCAGTGGAGGACTGGATGCAAGAAGAGGACACAGCTCAGGGAAGGATTTTGCACAAGGCTGACCCATTCTTATCTCTGACTGAATAAAGACTCCATAGCTATTTTCCAGACTTCTGCCAGGAGGTGAGGAGTCCACTAATTTTTATTAGCATTAATAGTTATTATTAGGCCATCAGAGGGCTTCCAGCACCCTTGAGGCCTCACCCTTAGCAGACGTACATTCGCCTACCCACTGCTCCTGATGCATGTGCACGTTCTCCCTCAGGTTACCCCAAACCATCAGACACCCAGGGAGTTTAAGTCACCACAGCATACGAATCAGAAAAGTAGCACATGGAGGTTAAGCCTGAACTGGGACCCTCTGCAGGGGCCAGGGTCTCAGTTACAGTCTCTGATTTGACTTAGGAGCTGTGCTGGGTAAGGGAGCTGTTCTTCCCCTTCCTAATACAGGGTCTTTGGGGACTACACAATGTGAGAAGCTGCTTGCACTAGAGGAGAAGCCAAATTGCACTTGACAAAGCCTCTACTGCTGAGGGTACAGTGACCCCTGCCCTCCCACGGGTGTGGAGAGGAGCCAGCCACCACTGCTGCCTTATGGGCGGAAGAGACCATGGGTATTTTCTTACAATGGGCTCTCCCCATCAAGGCTAAACCTTATTAATACCTAAAGATCATGTTATTCTCTAGCCCAGCAGAGCTTCCTGAGAGAAAAGCTAATGGATTTTAGTTTTCATCGGTACTCTCCTCCCCGAGCAAAAATTCACCTTCAGGACAGGGCACTAATTACCTCAGAAGTGCTCTTACATAGCATCTAGCAGTGGACACTATACAAACCTCTACCACAACACCAAAGGAGATGATTAAGTTACTAGCAATATCTCTTATGATTCCCTCCACCAGTTTGAATGGTCCCCTGAGTCCCATGCAGACATCATTAGCAGCTCCTGCAATGGCAGGCCAATCAAATTAAGTGGAAACATTTTTGTCTCCTTTCCAGTGAAAATCATCTAGCTTTATTCCTCCCCCACCCATCAGCTACAAAAGCACAGGACATGCTGGTCCTGGTTGAACAACAAACTGCCTGGTGACCACCTCCATGGGGGTCTGCCCAGAGAGGCAGCTTATGGTCACCAGCAAAACAGGAATCAGCTTCTAAGGCAGGTGCAAAAGGAGCTTTGCAAGAACTTATTTTACAACTCTACTGAGAACGCCAACTTTGCAAACACCCCTAAATTTAAATCAAATATCCAAGCACAAGAGTTAGCACCTGCTCTCTGCAAATCTACTAGAGGAGTCTTCAGGAGCACATATACCTATTTTTGCTAGATCTATCACAGAAAGCTTCTGTGGATGATCAACTTATCCAAGAGCATCTGATCTAAGGGAACAAAGGCAGCAACGTCAGAGCACAGAAAGCCAAACTAAAGCAAGAAAACAGATGGTCAAGAATGAATCTGTTTCAGACCTTATGTACAATTTGTTCTTCATCTGACAGAGAGAACATTAAGGGCCAAATTCACAGAAGGGTCTCGGTGGGGCTTTCACATTTGCATGGCCAAACTTCCACACAGATGATTTTCAGCAACCTTCAATCTGACATTATTCTCTGAGGTTGGCACATACTTAACCTGCTGAATCCATGTCTGATATACTAACCCATAACTTCATGCCTCTAATTTTGAATGACTATCTAAGCTGCTAAACTCCATAAGCATCAGTTTACAGGGTGGCTTAAAGTTTCCAGTTTGGCAACACTGACAATAAGGCAAATTAAAGAAATGCCTTCTTTATCTCCTGGGTTCACCAAGAATCAGCACCTCATACTCCTGGGTTCACAAGGACACAACCTCTGCAAAGTGAGTTTAGCACAGGTGAGAGGTACGGGATTAACTCACTGAGGCTGACAAGCAAGTTCAGATACACTCAAGTGAGAGTCCAACAGACAGAGCATTAATCTCCTGCTCCAGAGCTTGCAAATGCATTCACCTTACTTACAGTTCAATTTAAGTCAAAGGTTTGACTTACTGAATTAAAATTCTGGACCGTCGGGTACCTGTGAACCATGTAACTATCAGGACCTAATATGCTGCAGGCCAGCAGCAGCTCACAGAAGACATCTCCTTCTCTACCTTCTCTTTCCTTAGCTCTTGTGGTTTCCCAAGTGACCACAACAGGATGGAACACATTGAGGAGTTCTGACAGGACTCAGGCACAAAAAGCCTGGGCAGCTGAGATTTGAGTCAAGGACTATGCAGGAAAAGAGCAAACGCCATGGGCCCCTTTCTATGGCAGGAGTTACCAGAAGAGATTCTGGAATTCAGCTGGTAAGCTTGACAGAGATATCAAGATAAACTAATTACAAGCATACTGAAAAGTACACTTAAAACATAATAAAAACAAATGAAATAGATTTTTCTTCAACAGATAGACTACATTTTCTGTATCTTAAGTTTCTTTACTGTGTCAATGAAAATATGAAACAAAAAGCCGGGTATCTTTGGACAAGTCTGACATTACTTCTGTCAATGTAAATTAATGGGGATAAGGAAACAGTTCTCATAGAGAAAGCTATAAAGTTGTGTGACTGATTAGAAGCTCATTAAAACACAAGACAAATAAGCATTTTTTCTTCCCCAAAGCACTCAAGTGTTCTTTATCTGAAGCAATGCTGCTTAAATAACTGTTTAACAATAATGTGGCAAAGCGTATGAATACCACAAAGTTATTTTAGTGCAAACTAACGCGGAGGAGGGAACAAGAAAGCAGGTTGAGTTCAGTGGTTACAAACATAAAGTCACATGCATAGAAAGGAGCAGTAGAACCTACCCAGCAGTCCACCTGGACACCAATCTGACAGCATAGGAGTGAACCAGGCACCACTGGTTCAGGTGATGTTCTGGGAACAGTAGTAATCAGTCATAAATAGCTAAGGTCAGAAGGAACCAGTTCTGATCTAGTCTGACCTTCTTTGTGGCCCAAAGGCAAAGCACTTCAGCTAATATTTCTGCAGGCAGCTCCCTAATGTCTGGACCAAGTACTGTTAGGGTGTACAGAAAATACCAGCATTATAAGGGCATTATATAAATTAACCAAATACCCTCACCTGGTACATGGCTGTTTTGCTCACTGTAGCCCAAAAGGTATATACGAGTAAAGGGTTCAGCAAAAACAGTGCAAATGCTGTACAAAACTGGCAGCCTCCCTCTGGACGATAAGTATAGGTTCACAAAAACATCCAAGAACAGGGCCCAAGAGGAGTTCCTAGATCGCAGTCTACACGGACTGTGGTGCAGCCCTACTTCAGGCCAATGGCAAAAATAAAAAGCACTAATGAGCCAGTTTAGCAGAGCATGCTGTCATCAGGAGCTTTCATTCATACTAAAGGACTCAACAGCAAGAACAACCTCACAAACCTGGCTCAGACTTTTTTTTTTTTCGTTTTTTAAATTAAAATAAGGTAACCGAACATTAGCCTGAAAAAAGGTAGAAGGTAGGAACCTAGCCCCAGCCATCCAAAACCGATAGTTTGACATTACTGACTCTGGAGACCTCTGTCACACAAGGAAGTCACTGCAGAGCAACACCTCGGTGTTGAAGTCCCTGTTTCAGGAAAGGGGGCTGCCCGCCAGCCCAGCAGCTCCCTGCACTCATCTTGGAGAGCAGTTGTGAGCATACCTGCCAGCAGTTACCTGAGGCTGATGCAAAGCAACTCAGCTCTTTGTTGTATGACTCAACAGGCTTTCAAGAGTTCACAGGTTTTTGGCCCTCTGGGTTGATATTTAAAAATCTGCAAGCTAGTTCTGAATTCAGTTATAACTTATGAAAGATACCAGGTCAGTAGCTTAACAGCACTTCTATTTGCTTAAGACTATGCTAAAGATGTAATACTTCAAATTCAAGCAAACTGTTTTGCTATCAGTACACTCTAAAGCCTTTTGCTATTCTGCTGAAGTATCTCTATTTTCTTCTAAATAAACTGCATCAGCAGAATGTTACTGGTGTTATCTCAAACTATCACAGCAGGAAGCTCAAAATTAACAAGCCTCCCAATAGCCGGAACAACCAAATTTTGACTAAATGGTACATACTAGAGCAGCTAAAAGCAATAAAAAAATCAGATAACACAATATTGTTGTTATTTAAATGGTGAGTTCTGACTTCTCTGAACTTTGGGAAAAGAGTTTCAACTTCCTCAGCTTAAGCAAAAAAAAAAAAAAAAAAAAAAAAGTATAGTTGCAGCTTTCTTCTGGTTTACAAACACAGAGATAGGACTTTCTGAAATAAAGTGACCTCTGATTTGTTTTTTAAATACCAAGACACTTTTCACTGGAAATACTTGTTTACTCGTTGTTAGGTACACCCATCAACACAAGAATAAAAGAATAATGCACCAGCATCTATGGGTTTGAGAGGAAGAAAAAAAAAAAAAAAAACCCAAACAAAACCACCAAACCACAACACAAAACATGACGTCAGATTCACGGACGCTCAGACTGCTGGCTTAAAAGTTTACTGCAAGATCCTGCCATGTGAGCCGTGAGAGCACAGCAGCCTGGCCCCAGAACCGAAAAACACCGGGTTCAGGGCCTGCTTCTAAACCCGCTGGCGGGATCCCAGCGGCGGGAGCTGCCTCCCGCCGGGGCCGAGCGCGGGGGGCTCAGCCCAGCCCGACCGCACGCCGAGGCCCGGGGGGGCGGCACGTCGCGGTGCCCGGCCTGCGGGAGGAGGGGAAGGAGGCGGGGGGGTGGGTTTACACGACTCGGCTCAACTCTGGGAAGTTTTCCGGGAAGGAGGAGGCGCGGGAGGAGGCCCGGCGGGGCGGGGGCAGCCCGGGGCGCCGCACTCACCGTTCAGCCGGGTCTGCCGGTTCGCTCGCACCCGCAGGAAGGTCTGCAGAGGGAAGACAAGAGCGGAGAGGTGTCAGAGCCCGCGGGCGCCGGATGGAAACACCTCACCCCCCGCCGGTAAACAAGGCCCGAACCAGCCCCCCCCCCCCCCCCTCCTCACACCGTCCCGCGCATCACCGGGACAACGCACCCACCTCTTCCCGGCCCCCGCCGCCGGGCCCCCTCCTGCCGCTCTGCATAGCCGCGGGCGGCCGGCGGGGCAGCGGGGCGGCGGGCCCCGGGGCGGACCCCCCCGCGCGGCCCGGGATGCGGGTGGATACGGCGCGGCCCGGCAGGCGCCGCCGATCAGCCCCCAGCGGCCGCCGCCATGTTGGCCCCGGTCATGTGACCCGCCGCCGAGAGGGTGAAAGTTCGCCAGGAAACTGGCGGGGAGAAGCGCGGGAGGAGGAAGTTCCCATGGCAACCGACAGGCGGCAGCAGGGCCCGGAGATCCCTGGCCAATCAGGGCCCCAGGACGTCTGGCACCCAGGGGCTCCTGACCAATCAGGGATCAGGGGTAGCGGCGGCCCGAGTGCCTGGCCAATCAGAAATCAGAAGCTGCTGGCGTCCGAGGGCACGTGGCCAATCAGGGCCTAGAGGCAACTGGCACCCAGGGACAGATGGCCAATCAGAGCCCAGGAGCCACTGGAAGCAGGCTTCCTTGCCCAATAGGGACTGAGCCATCCCTTAGGCCCAACACCACTGGCCAATCAGAGCCCTGGGTCCAACTAGTACCCAAAGGTGCTGGCCAATCAGGCGCCAGGGGCCAACCACTCTCCAACTTTCCTTGTCCAATCGGAGATGGGGGGCCATAGGGGCCCGAGGGCACCTGCCCAATCAGGGCCCAAGGGGCACCGGGACCCGAAGGCACATGGCCAGTGGGGGTCCTTGCCGCCCATGCCCAGCCCCAGCCCCGCCGCGCAGCCCCCAGCGCTGCCTCCTGCCGCCGCCCTTTCCCTGCTCTGTTCCCTTCTGCCCTTCAGCAAACCTGGGCAACCGGACCTGGGTTTATTCCCCATGTCTGCCCCACCGTGGCGATAGGGGCCCCAGTGGGCCGGCCTGCGGGTAAGGCAGCGGTAGGGGCTAGACATTGGGCAGCACTGGCTCCTACATAGACAACTCCCATTTGTCTTTCCCTCTGCAGACTCCTGGGACTTTGTTTCTCGGAATCAAACCTACGTGTTGGGTCCCCGCTCTGGCACCTGACAACCTGCTGCTCCTTCTTCAGAGGGAAAACAAAGAAAACCCTGGTATGTTTTGCCATATCAAAAGATGATGGGCAGTTAGGAAGTTCAGGTGCTGGCTGGTAAGCTTTGCGCGGCGCTGACCTGTGTCGTACATCCCAGCTCTGTCTGCACGCTGCAGCTGCATTTTCATACATGTGCTTATTTACAAAATCAAAGCTGCCGATTGTTGGTTTTACCCTTCTAATTAATTAAGCTGTCTTTCAGGAGGCATGGTCACTGCTGAGCTCAGGTGGAGGGAGGTAAACCTTTCCTGGACAAGGATTTCAGTTATACTTACTCCACATGTTATTCAGTCACAAATATTCCGTGGGCTCAGCTGACTCACGCAAGGTGGTCTCCCTCCGAGCCTAAAATGTTATCTTTGCAGTATGGTGAATGACTTATAATTTGCTGTTGATTTTTCCACTGGGGATTCAGGGTTGTGTCTAAATCTAACTAAAATGGCTTTATTTTTACTCAGAGCACAGGAAAAGCCCTGGCTGACAGAACACAGTGTATCTAAGAGGAGCACCCACCACTGACCAAATCACAAGGTCCTGCACAACACCAGCTGCCACCATCTTGGTCCGATCAGTGTCCACGTACCAAGCTCCAGCAACCAGGCTTGGCACAGGGGAGGCAAGGGGATCCCCCCTCCCCACGTCTCAGAGCCACCCCACCGCCTCCACTGCAGCTCCCTCTCAGGGAGCAAAGCACACAGTCCAGGCGCTGTGCAAGCCCGTATTCCTGTAGCACTCCTATTCATAAATCTCCTTCTTCCCTAAATATCCCCATGGCAAATCAGCATGAAGCCTAAGAAAGCCGAGCCACAGGAATTCTGAAAACCTACATGCCAATAACTCGTGTTCTAGCATGTTACTAATACACTGCATATTCACGGTTAGATCACAGATAACACAATTTTTTTTTAAAAATGCTAAATTTTGCAGCCCTTATAGACACCACCATGAGAGTCTTCTGCTCTGCTTCCTGAGCATTTCCCTTGGTAAGCCAGGAAGGCTGAATTCTCATTCATATTGTGGCTTTATTAAAGATACACTGAGGCTTTACACAACCCTGGCACCCACTCTGAGATCCCCTTACACTGGTGGAGCAGCATAACGCAGCCAGCACAAGCATAAATGAAAATCAGGCCCCAGAGGTCTGTTCCCGCTGCAGTGCAGACTTACAACTCCCATTACACATTTGCATTAAGGGCTGCAACCCTCCATAAAATACACTCACAAACTTAAAATACGTTAGAGACTAGCTAGACTCGGCCCACAGAGGGGGCTTCTGCTGAGAATATTTGTCCTCAAGTATGACATAATAAAAATTTATAGGGACAGAGGACTGCAGGGGACCACCAATGTCACAGAGACTGAAATCTCAAGTGGGAAGGGAGGGGTGTTCTGCAACAAAGGGGCCCACAGCAAAAGTCTCTTCCATGCCCTTTTGGAAGGAACATGATTTATTTATTAGCCTTAACTGGCAGAAAGGAGTGGGATTACCTGTATCAGGGTTTTCTGTATCTTCTGCAGGGTTTTGCTTCTCTTACTTCGCATGAGGTCTCATTGTTCATACAAGGCTAAAGTGACTTGTGATGTCACATCAGGTTATAACTGAAGGCTACATGGGAATATGTAGCAAACAATGGAGGTCTGTATTTGATAATATAACCGATAAATAGGACACAGAAAAGAATAATGGGCAACAAATGTACGGATCTGCTACTAACAGGACCTATCTTTAACTCACACTTTAACTGAAGCTCCTTGGTTAGACACCCAGCACTGGTCATCAGCCTCTCCCCATGCAGATCCAAACGCAGACCTGGCACACGCGAGATGGCTGATGCAGGAAGCGTCTGCCCGACCCTGGGCACAGGGTATCGTGGCAGAGCACTGCAGGATACAGGGTGATAGGTCCACACAGAGGGTACGGACACGCTTGGGTCTGCGCTAAAGACCACCATTAATTTATCTGCTGCTTTTCAGAGCTTACTTGGCTGAGCGCAGGCTTGTAGCCAAACAGTTTGAATGTGTGTTGAGTCAGAGTCAAGTGTGCCTGCCTGCCCCAAAAATAAGGACAGACTTACAACAAACAAAGCTGTACTTGTGCTGCTGCCTTTCTCTTTTTTTCTTGCTCCATCTTCCTCAACTCTTACTCACTGCTCCACAAGTCAAGACCTGCTGCTCCTCTGGGCAGAGGGTGTTTTATAAAACATATTAGCATGGCTATGGATGGTCCAAAACCATTTCTGTTTTGGGTGAGAGTCGCGAGTCAGTTTGCTGGGCAGTGGCACACCAGTGAAATGAAGAATTTTGGCCAGCTGCTGGCTGACAACATTCACTGTTCTACAAAAAAAGTCACTTCTCTGAAAGTTTCCTGGTGGTGCAGGGTAAGTAATGGCAAACATAGTCATGGCAACAACCAAAATGATGAATATAATGCAACAGAAACATCTACAAAGATTTAAAGCAGTTTTGCATGGCTGTGGTTTAAAGTCAGAGCTGGGAGGACGCTGCAGACAAAAGCACACCTTCGTAGCTGTGTGAGGGACCAAGTGCTCACGTCCCCCTGCTGCAGGTGGGTGAGCTGGGGCAGAGGTGCACAGCTGAGAGCCGGGCTCTCACACACAGAGCTGCAGGCACTGGGGCGAGCTGGCTCCCTGCTTAAGGCTGAGACCAGCGACGGCATCCGCCTGCTTACCTGGTATCTGTCCGAGTGATGGATGTCATCTGAGGAGTGGGGTGATGCTGTCGGAGAATCTCCTTCCCGCTTGATTGAGGCCGACAACAAAATTGACTGCAAGAGAGAGGAGAAATTCATGCTGTGAGCGTTGCCGAGCTCTCTGCCCTTCGCTAAGCTGTCCTCAAAGCCACGGAGAACGTCTGCCGGGATGTGGGGCTGTGCTGGGCTGGACTGATGGGCTGTGGGGCTGGCTCTGCGCTTCCTGTGGGGCCCTGCCCCATGAGGGGACCGGGCTGCAGGCTCTAGCAAAGGGCAAATGCATCAGGTAACAAAGGGATGGTCATTTTGTCCCCAGGTCTGGTGGCTGGGGGCAGAACCAATCCCTGCTGGAAATGATGCATGAGGTCCACACCAGAAATTCACACGGTAAGAGGCGAAAACGTGCTGATGTGGAGCAGTGCTTACGTGCCCTCACCCATCGCTCTAAGAGCCACTAAATCTCTCAATAGCTTTGTAAACCGCACTAAAGCTCTCAGCACCTTTGCAGCACAACTACCTCTTCCTTCTGTAATGATGCTATTTATTTTAATAAGTAGCACAGAAAAAAAGGGCCTTTTAGAAGGTTAAAAAGATCAGTGATATTTGAGACCTAAGAAATCACTGATAAACTTCAAGTCAATAGTAGGTAAGTCTAAATTCTACACACAGTGAACTCTAGCGGGAAAATTACTGCAGGAGTTTGACAGTATCTAAAAAAAATGTACACGGAGTTGCCAGTGAACTTTATTATTAGAAGAGTTTGAGGGAAAAATGCAATTTAAAATTCTAATTAAAAATATAAATTAGCTAAGCTAGGCTAAATATAGCCCAATGCATTGTAAAAAAATGTACACTGGAAATGCAGCTCTCCAGATGTTTGTTTCTGAGAATCAGCTGGCAAGATTCGACAATAAATGACTGCTTGGAGATGTGTATGTTTGCGAAGGGAAGTGTAGATATCATCTGAATTGGACAGGTCAAGTGTGGTGACAACATTATTAAAAAGCATAATACCTTGGAGAAAGGCAAGTATTCCAGAAACATTTGCCTCTGGGCTGAAATGAAACGTGAAAAAATGTGCATTTTTTGGAAAGATATGAGCAAGTGGAAAAATTACTCAGCCTACAAATTGGTTCAGTCAGCAGGATGTGTTCCCCCCGGGCTCAGACAGATCTCCCGGAGAGAAAAGCATGGCAGCGCGGTTGGCATGGGCATGGAGGGAGGGCAGGCTTGGGATGGAGGCGGCGGAGGAGCATTTGGGATGCTGGGTTCAGCCCCACGGGCATGAGCTGTCAGCCTTGCCGCGAGAGCAAGAGCCACATCCCTGCCAGCACCACAAGTCTCTGCCCTAAAGCATGGCTCTACTGGCCGTGCAGAGATGTGACATCTTGAAAGGGGTCATGAGGGAGTTACTTGCTGGGGTGCTCAGTTATCTCCCCAGGCACGGCTCCTCCACCGATGCCGGGGGCTGTGCTGACCACATCTTGGAGCTGGCACGCTGCTTGGCTCAGCCCAGCCGGGATGCCAGGTGCTGGGAGGGCCGGTGGGAGCCCACGGGGATGGGGGCACCCAGTGAGGGCTGCCCCAAGAGACCAGCCTCCGCTTCCCAGGGGAGAGACGGGCAGAGCAGGGGGGGCTCTCCGGCCTCACATGTTGGCTGAACCCTACTGATGATGGCTTTTGGTAAGCAGCTCATTTATTTCTGGAGAAGCCCTCAGATAACTATGCGAAGCCACCAGGAGAATATCTGCAGAGTGCAGACCCCAAGCTCCTCCTGCTGTTTGGTTTCTTTGTTTTCTAAATGGAGAATGAGAACCATTTTTGAAGAAGCAAGATTGCACATGTCCTATAAAACAGAGGAATGGGGCTCAAAGCTTTCAGGTGTGGTGTGACCCAGAACAACAGCCCTGATTTCAGCTGTGTTAATGCCCTTCCCCTCCTCTAATGAGTCAAGCACCCTGGAGCTCAGAGGGTTAAATCTGTTTTGTCTTCCAATGTATTCTGGAGAAGGGGAGAAATACCCATCTCGCCATTCCTTGGCGACAGACAGACAAACCCTCCCCGCCTCCAGCTCCCCCCTCAGCTTCTGGTAGCTCTAATCCAATATTATTATGTGAAAAATGGTTGGGCTAGCTATGGAGACAGTAAATTAAACGTTATGTATTAGTTTTTAGCGTGTGGTCCCAGGAAGAATGCTGGCCCCATTTATTCCACAAACCTCCTGAGCACCATGGCGATGACCTCTGGAAAAACGAAGGGCTAAACTAATCCCAAAGATGTCAATCTTGAGGCCTCTTCTACATACACTTGCAGTTTAGATTAATAAACTGTCTATTTTTAAATTGTGTGCAAGCACTTCAATTCTAAATACCTCGCCGGCATGTTAAACACAGCGTTAGAGATGCCAAGTCACACTTCCCCTTCACTCTTAGGAAACTTGACTTCATTTGTTTTTCTCATTTCTGTGCGCCATGCCACACTTTGCCTTTCAGGCAGCTGTGGGAGCAGGCAGGGGTGCAGGCTCAGGAGCTAAGGGATTAGGAAAGGCACTTGCCATCAGGGTGACTTTCATTTCTGCATTAGGCCAGCCTCGCTGACATCCCAATTTTGGCCTCTTTTTTTCCCAAATCGTTGTGTTGGGGCCATTACCCAATGGCTAAGCAGTGAGGATGCATGGCCACAGCATGGCAAGCTGAGGATTTGCTGCCCTCTGCACCCACACTGCCCACTCCCACCTGGGTACTGGCAAGCGGGGAAGGGGCAGCAGTACGATCCCCATCCCTTTCTCGACTGGCACCTGGGAAGATGGCTGCGGAGGGAAAAGGCAGTTTTACACCTGCCCTCCTTTGTGCATGCCCAGCCTGCAAGAAAGACCCACATTCTGGCATCCCACCCCAAAAACGTGGCCCTGGGTGCTCTGCGTGCAGACAGGAACAAGCCTTGATGCTGAGATGTCCCTTTTCCCCCTGGGGAGGGGCCACCAGCTAGCTCCTACTCGCCTGGTTGCTAGTTCAGCCCAACTCCCCTTCAAGGTGCATCTGAGTGGGGCTATCGGGGCGAGAGCACCTTCCTCCCTCCCCGGTCCCTGCTCCCCTGGCAAACCACACTCCCAGCGTCAAAGATGGAGCAAGGGCCTTGTGCAAGTGGCCGTGCAGCCTCATATTTCTCCCTTGCCTTTAAATCATCTCTCCATTGGGTAAAGGCACTCTCTGCGGAGGTTATAAACCCTGAGAGGATCAGCCTGAGCATTACACCTGGGGCAAGCTAAATAAAAAAAGGTCACCAGCGCTTTTTAAACATGGACAAAAAAGCAGTAAAATGTGTTTGGAAAAAAAAATCTGGCATTAAATCATGACTTTTTGCCTGGCTTGCCTCATTAAAAGTGGCCTTTTGGAAGGTAAAATTATCATTGTAAGTGATAAGATCTTTAAGAAAATAATTCACGGCTTCTTCACCCTTTAATATGATAGCCGCCACCGGCTAATTTTTTTCTTAATGGCAACGAGGCCATCAATCTTGTCCAAGCCCTGTACTCCCTCCTTCCTCCTGCCCCTCCTGCCGTGCTGGGCAGCCATGGCCCTGCTCGGCGGTTCCTTCCTACCCCTTGGAGCCCAGCTGTGCCATGCCACGGGGAAGGGACACATCTGGATGTACGGCTTTACCCGCCTGTGTCCGTGGATCCGGGCTCCCCCCGGGGATGTGGCACCCCAGGAAGCAGAGGCCAAGTAAGCCTTGCTCACGCCGCGGGGTCGCACCCTGGTAGCTCCCGACGCCCTCCGCGATGCTGCAGGGATGGGCCGCGGCGCCTGCAAATGTTCTGTCGGCCTCACTGCCGTTAGGAACAACATATAGTTTACGTATATAAGCAGAGGGGCAGTCTCGGCACGAACGGGCTGCGCATCATGCGGCCGGTGTGCCCGCCGCGGTGATCCCAGCCCACTGCTCTCGGGACCTGCTGCTCCCTGCTCGGGCGGAGGAGCCGTGGGCAGCTCCGAGGCGACGGACGCGGGCAAGGGCACGCGTGCCAACACGCTGCCGGCTCCTGGCCCCCCCGGGGCAGCGTGAGGGTGTCAGGGTGAAGCCGTGGGCCCCGAGGAAATGGATGGAAATTGCCTGGATGCGCTGCCCCCCGGCCCTCAGCGCTGCCTCTCGCCGGCAGCCGGGGCAGGTGTCAGCGCCGGGAGAGCCCAGCCGGTGCCGCTGACATTCTGCTGCCTCTCAAGGCCAGTCATTTGAGAGTATTAAAGTGCTGGACTCCTGCTTTCTGATAGCCCTGGAAAAACACAGGGAGTCTATTTTTCTTAAACAATCCGTCACAGCTGCTGTCAGCAGAACAAATACCCTAACCCCGCTTTTTATGTATCTATATGGCCTTTTTTTATTTTTTTTTTTTTTATTTATTTTGGCACAAAGTGTTCCCTGCTTGATGCATTCAGCTTTAACTCTGCCTTCTAAATAGGTACTTATCACTTAACATGGAGGTGATGGCTTGACATGTTTTCTGTCTCCTGCCCTCCCCTCCACGGTAGGGAAGCCGTCAAAGTGTTGCTAATAGCTGTTATCACTTGGGAACTGTAACCCGAAAGCAATGAGTGATACCAGGCCTTGCTGCGATTTCCCCCCTTAACTCTGCTAGCCGTTTTTTATGTTATTGCTGGAGGATCCCTAACACAAAGATGCTACTATTAGAGCTGAGCTTCCTAGAAGCTTTTGGTGGGTCCACATTTGCTCCTGGGAAAGTTAGAGGTAAAATTATCTAGTGGCTTTTAGCTGGCAGAGATAAAGGTGGGACGGAGCTGGGGATGAAAGGCTTAAATGTGAGAAGCGTGTGAATAGTGAACAGAAATAATGATATCCGCAGCTTCTGGCCTTCACTGAAAGATTCCAGTGGTCCACAAGCAGAATAAGCTTACAGAAATGTGAGCTACTGATTTATTTCTGTGCATGTTACAGTCACACCTGGGATTGCAATTGAGCTTTGGGTCCTCTTGGGCGAGACATCAGCTACATGGTGGGGAAAGGGGCCCCTTCCAGCAGGACTGCCCGTCGGCGCACTGGGGATGGAGAGGGAAAGAGGTCTGGCAAGGGTCTGCCGGGGTCTGCCAGTCTGTCCGGCTTCCCTCCGCGACCACATCCCTCTCCACTCCTACTTAACACAGTGTTTTCCCCCAGACTAATGGGAGGGCACAGCTGTTTGGCCCAAGGGGAGTGAGGGGCTTTGTTTGTTCATGGGGTAATTTGTTTTATGGAATAAAACCTGGCAGAGATTTTTTTTGGAGTGGCTCTGGTATTCATCACCCCAAACTGGCAGGGAGCATGGCCAGCCAATGTTCATCCTACACGATTTCCCCTCCTTCGCATATCTGTGGGCTGTTCTTGTGTCCCCATCTTGGCCATAGCTTTGCCACAATACTCAGATTTAGCTTTTTAATCTTTCCTTGTAAATCACAGTTACAGAGGAAGGGGGCACAGATACGGTGAGTGACTTCTCCAACCCCTGCAGTGAGTCAGTGACACAAGAGAAGGAGTTAAAACCCCAGGGCCCTGACACCCATCCCCTGTTCCTAGCACCAGACATGATACGGAGAAGTTAAATGATTGTGCTAGAAATTTCATCTCGAGCGAGGCAGCTGGGAAGGGCTTAATACAGACATTCTGTCAAGGTTTAAGGCTCCAAATCTTGCTTGCTTCAAAGCTCTTTTTCCTTGGAGGGCTTTAGTGGTCAAATTTCCCTCTAGATGCTGTAATTCTCTCTCAAACTGCTCGGTGAAGCTGTAAAATCACGGAGGTGGGTGGGGGAATCAAAGGGCTCTGGCACTGTGGCTTGGTTCCCAGCTCTGCTGGAGGTCTCGGAGCAGCGCGCTGGCTGCCTGCCTGCGGGCACCCTCCGAGGAGCTGGGCGCACACCTAAACAAACCAGCCGCAAGCATCTGCTGGGTGCACGAGATGGATTTTGCTCCTGGCCGCTCACGTCAGTGTTTGTTTGCAGCAGGAGCCAGCATACGGACTGGACTGTTAGTGGGAAAGGCAATTTGCAGTCATGTATTAGCAAGCAGCAGCAGAAAACCAGTGCTGAACCCGCCGTGAGAGCTGGGATGCTTCATGGAGCCCTGCTTTTCCCCTTCAGTGGCCAGTACCACCACTTCCACAGGGGATATAAGTGTTCACCTGGTAGGTGACAGGTAACAGTCTGCAGCTAATGTCCTGAAATTTAGGGGTTGAGATCTCTCTAGGCAGAGATGATATCCCACCTAGATCATGGCTCATGGAGGGAGAGCCGTGGGCCAGGCAGGCAGTGGTAAAGAAGTGCTCTTAGGTAGCTACGAGGACCTGGGGCTGCTGGTTCCCAGAGTTACTGCTGGCTGCTCAAGAGAGAGTGGGAACAGTTGGATTTACACTGCTCATACACCTCACCAACACGGGTTCAATCCAACATGTGCTCCTCTCCTGCGCAACCCCTTGCAAGAGGCAGCCAAGGCGAGAGGGGGAGTGTGAAGACCAGGAATGATGCCCAGGGGAATTTCATGCTGCTGAGGGCTACGTACAGACTCCTGGGCAGCCACAAGCCTGGCCGGAGCCTGTGCTGCTGCTCATATGTTTCTGCAAGACATCCCTGCTGCCTGATTTGCCAGAGACACAGGCTCTGGCCATGCTGGGGAGTGCTGCAGGGAACCTCTGGGCTCACAGAGCTCTGGAGCATGGCTGACTTGGACACACCTTCAGAAAGTGTCCTCCTGAGTGACTCTGGTGTTGGGCTTCCCCATGGTGACCCAGGAAGACAGTGAAAGGTTAGCAAACAACCACACCAGAGAACGGGACCATGGAGCTGCGCTCTCTAGCTCAGCAAGAGCAAGGACACCCTCCATCCCTTCCCATGGGTGTGAAGCATCTGTTCTCACCAACGCTGAAACTTCTCCTTGGTGAAGAATCTGTTTTCCCACCCTTGGTGTTTCATCTAGCCCAGCTTGCTGTCACCAGCTTTCCTAAGTAAGTGGCAGTCAGAGTTGGGTAGAAATCTCATCCTGAGGCTCATTACACCAGTTTGGCGGCTGCTTGTCCACACTGGCATGGCACGATGGATTGGGCTTGGTCTCTCATACGAAGCAAGGGAGAATCCTGAACTCTGTGGAGCTGCCCTCCCCCTCAGCACTGCCTCCGCAGAGAGAGCCCAGGCAAAGGGCAAACATGTTGGCCGGAGCCCCCCAGCTCACAGCCCTTGCTTGCCTCTGTCAGCTTCAATAATAGAAGAACCTGATACAATAATCCTGCATTCATCACATCTCATGTTGAGTGATTGGATTTTCTTTGACATATCACCATGAAAATTGGCCCAGTGCAGTGAGTGACAGGTCTGCAGGGGCAGGAAAGTGGCAAGTGAGGAACATGGGTTTACATCTGGGCTTTTATTGCCAGGAGAGACAATTGCCAGGGCAACTGTGGGGAAGGGATGGGACCAGAGCCAGGAGTCAGAGCACAGCGGGGTTAAATCCCCTGCCCTCAGCTGTACCCTGAGAAGAGCCTCAGGGCAGCACAGAAACAGTGATGGTACTGATACTGTATGCAAAGGTCCTAAAAGAGTTCCACAGTGGTCTCAAAGCCACTGGTGACCACAAAAGTAACACTGCTAGCCTGCACTCCACCCCAGCTCCCATGTCCCCGGGTGGAACCAGCCCGCCACTGCCCACGCCACTGCCCACGATGCCAGGGGATTCTCCCAAGGGATGGGGAGGTGCAGCCCCTTTCTCCTGCTGCTGCGTGGCTGGAGCTGCTGGCCCTTTTGTTGGCACCAGGAGAAGGACCAGCCAGGAAATGTTGTGGCAGTCCCTGCAGTCCTCGCGACCCCTTCCACTGGTGCCCAGGGTGGGAAGTGGGACATGGCACAGGCCCCAGGTCTTCCCAGGCAGTGCCTGCCAGACCGCCAGTGATGCCTGGGTGCCTGGAAATGGGCTGCAAGCCCACCCTGGGGGTGTGTCCCCCATCCCTCTGCCTGGGACCCCTGTTAAGGGTGGCCCAGTGGCCCAGTTTTGTCCACAACAGAACTTTCTTGGAGGGACTTCACATTCTGATGGGCTATTCCCAGGCCATGTTGCAAACACTCAGTGGGCACAAAGGGAAAGAACAGCCTTCATCTACCAACACCCTCCTACTCAGCCCTCCCAGTTACAAAGGAGCCTTTAATACCAGGCTCAGGTGAAGGTGACAGTGCTGTGCCTTTCCATGCCACACAGGACTTGTCGCCCAGCAAAAGCCACCTAGAAATAATGAATCCTCCTGGGCTGAAAGGCTTTCAAGCTCTCTGAGAAGGGAATGAAAGATTTCCTGATTTCACCCTCTCCCTCCCTGCTCTCTTGGCTTCTTGAAGTTAATGTTCTTAGCCCCAGACGTGACGGGCAAAAGGAAAAGATCCATGTGGTGACAGGGGACGATTGATCTCTTTTACATAGAACGACGCTCCAGTCCCAGTTTAATCCCCTCGCTCAAGGCAAATGGGATTCTTTGTCAATGGAAACTTCAAAAGCATGGCCCTGCCACGAGATGGACCTTCTTCTTTATCTGGTCTCTGTCAGTCACTCGCTGCGTTTCCCTCCAAACAGCTAATCTGTCTTCCTAGCCGTCCTTCTCCGTCGCAGGCGATGTGTTTGGGACTGTTGAGATATCTACACTCAGAGCTGACAAAGAGGGAAAGGGAAGCTTGCAGGGTCCAGCTGCTTTCATTTTGCGGGTGCATTTTCCTGCTCCTTTGAGACATCCCAAGGGAGCCTCACGCTCTGTGGATTTTCAATGGTGGGCGGGCTTGGGGATTGCTTTCTGCTCTGTTTGTTTTTCAAGGGAGAAATAGTCAGGTCTCCGCTCTCCTCCCAGTCTGCCCTGGGACAGGGCATGGGAGACAGGGGTAGTCATGCAGGAGGTGGTAATGCTGAAGGTGTGGAGCACTACAGAGTTTTGCTGTGATCTTTATTTTCCCTTGGAGGGTTTGGGAAATTGTTGGGTTGACTTGGGAGGTGTCTCTGCTGGGAACTTGGGTCAGCACGGTGACTCCCTGGCCCCTCTCTTGGCACGGCGGACAAGGTGTGGATGTGCTTAGCAATGCACCCATCCCCAAGGGGAAAACCTAGAACTGAAATTTCAAAAACGACCCAAATCTTCCAGAAGAAAAAGGAAGAGCAAGACCTGAAGTCAATTCCATTAAAACAAGCACAGAGACCTCCCGTGAGAGATGCCCTGTCATTCCCTGGGGGCCAGGAGCCTCCCTGGCTTGCACTGTGTCACCAGAAGCATAGGGAAGCCTGGACCCCTTGTCTTTGCCCACCTTGGAGAGTACAGCATGGTTTTCAGAGGCCGTGCAACTCGTAGCTGCCCTACAGTGCTCCCCGACACCCACTTGCCCGCCCAAGCTCCAGTCCTTCCCACTGATGTATCGTATGAAGCCCAGCTAACAGTAATACTGATTAGTGAATGATACCCCTTGCAGTGATGCCATGATCCTCCCTATATTTTTTCATTCTGAGCCAAAGGGATGGGGGGAGGGTTTGGGGGAGGGGGCTGCAGCTGAGATGGGGTCTTTTAGTGATTTGGGCTCCTCCTTGGGTGTGCTTCACTCCCCTGAGGCAGTCCTACTCCTCTCTTCCAAAGCTGGCATATGGCTCTGGCTCCATGAGCTCCTGCACATGATTTCCCAGGCTGAGCTCAGCCTGCGTGTGATCAGCTCTCATTAGCTGTCATTAGACACAATCTGGAGTCCTGGAGCCCGCTGGGTCCTTCAGCTCCTCCGTCCCTCAGCTGCACGGGGAACGAGAGAGCCCTGTGTGGGGACTTGGCCACCCCAGCCCAGTGAGTGAATTGGGGGCAGCAGCTTCCCCCAGTGCTGGCTGGCTCCCAAAGCATGGCCACCTTCCCGGGAGACACCAAGTAGCAGGCTGGGAAGGCGAGGGAGTGTAAAGAGCATCCCTCAGGGTGGGGAAGTGTGCTGAGTTGTGCTCACTTACCTTGGGGGTGCCCGCTGCCATGGCATCCTTCAGGATGGAGCTCTTGCTGCCAAGAGAGAAGAGAATGGGATCAGAGTCACAAAACCACTACAGCAGGCAAGGGGGTGATGTGCTTTGAGGGATCTCACAAGGTCAAATGGCGAAGAACACGGTTCCCCTTCCCCAGGCCAACAAGAGTCTCCTCACCCTGACTGCAGGGGCATGAAAAAGCGGGCAGTGCCTACTGTTTCTCCAGCTGGAATAAAATGGTCCTACGCGTGGAACCCCCCCAAACCCAGATGCACAATGCAGAGTCGAATCCCGACTCTCCCTCTCCTTGGGGGCTTGAACAGCTTCTTTCCCAGACCTGGGGAAAAGCAGGGAGCAAGCCTGCAGGCACACGGGGAAGAAAGCCAAGGGGAGGGGAGTGGAGGTGGCGAGCCCTGTGTAGGGTCAGGCACAATAAAAAAAAGGAGAGAAGGAAAAAGAAAGCGATTAAATCGGTGCAAGAGCAAGGGAAAGAAGATCCCCCCAGCTCCAGCCGTGCTGTGGAGGCAGCAGCTCTGCCGGAGGCTGGAGTGATTTGTTAATTCAGCTTGTTCCCCATTTAGCAGGGAAGGAGGTCCCCGCCACGGTGCTCCTCCTCGCCTGCCCTCACCAGCGGGAGATGCTATAGATTTAATAACACCTTCCCCCCTCCAGACAGGTTAAACTTGAAACAATTACATATCAAAGCCGACATGGCGGGGAGGCCTGCACTGTAATTTTTTGGTTATTAAAGTAATCTCTCTCATGTAAATTCTCCTGCTAACATGCTGCAAACAGCATTAGGAAATAAATTATTTCCCCATGATTCGATTTGTCAATGCAAAGCACCTGCAGCAGGCAAAAGGCTCTTGAAATATGTTGCCAAGCCCAGTGCCTGTGCTTGTAAGTGCACGCCGGTGGGGTGGCTGGCTCCCAGCTCCCCATAGCCCCGGGGAGATGATGGATGGGTGCATGGAGGGGGGAGGTTAGTGGGGGGAGGCGGAGGATGGGGAAGGGGGGGGAATGGAATTGTGTTTAATAACAAAATTTGTATGCAAGCCTGCATCCCAGGCTAAGGATGAGTGATCGGCAGCCAGAAAGTATTAAAAAGCCTCGCTAAACAGATGCTGACAATAGAACAAGACATATCAAATCAGATCTACTTCAGAAACATTAATATACACACGCACACATGCTCGCCCGCGCGCGCGCGCCCGGCTCCGCACACCCGTGCTCCTTTCTTCTCAATCACAGCAATATGGGAGACATCAATAAATTTTTATGAGACTTTTAGAAGATCAACACGGTACTAGATGTGACAAAAAAGCAATGTGCCTGTCATGTTCGCTTTGTCGGGGACACTTTAGCCCCAGATGCCGAGCTGCAGTGGCAGCGGGGAGAAATTGAATTTGGCTGGCTTTAATCTGCCTTGATTTGGCAGATGGCTGGGTGTTATGAAATGAGCAGGGATGGAGGAAGGTGTTTTCTCTTGGGGCTATGGGCTTGGGGCTCCTCTCCCAGTGCCACCGCCCTCGCCCCCCGCCCCAAAATGGTGGGAAACGCGAGGTTATCCATCACCATCAGGTCACCCCAAATGCCGCAGCTCTGCTCTCGGAGCAAGCGGCTGCAGTTCCCAGGGATCACCGATGAGCGGGCTGGGGCATCGCCTCCCTGGCAACCCCCCTTCCCTGAGGGGATGCACTGCCAGGTGCTTGCTGTGGGGTGCAGGATGCCCCCCATGCTCCGTCCCCCAGCTCTGCCCCCCCTGCTCCCAGGAGGTGGCACAGAGCAGAGTCAGTCCCCGCTGCCCCCTGAGACGCAGCCCTGGGACCACCTCCAGCCTGCTCCCAAACGTGGGAGATGGGAAAGATTTCCACCTTCTCCCCATCTCCAGAGCCACCTTGAATTTCTCAGTTGCCCAAAGTGGAAACAATTTTGTTTTTTTTCTTTAAAATCCAAACACCAGGTTAAAAAACCCAAGTCATTTCCTCCCTTTTCTTGTTAAAGGTGTTTAAAATTATTCCTTTTTGATGGAAAGAGGAAGAATCTCATTAATCCCTCCCAGAAATGGTGTTAGCACCAGGAAACTGCAGTTTTCAGGACAAGAGTCTCAGTGGTCAGCTGAAAGGCCAAGCTTCTGCCACTGGGACTGATGAGGAAGGAGAACTGATTTAGATAACTTGGCAGAGTTTATTTTATTCTTCATTTGGAGGATTATTAAGAACCACTCCTTTCCTTGCAGTTTAGCCCCACTCTATTGAAAATAAGAATTTGCAATTTGTTTTTATTTATTTCCAGGGATGGGCCAGGAATGGGCTCAAGCCCTGGTCATCCAAGTCCCAAGACCCTGCAATTTAAGGGTGCTTTCCTCCATCTCGCTAAATAACCCCCTGAATTACAGTGGCTGCAGCCCCCCACGCCTCTTAAGGATGCTGGTAGTGGGCTGAGAATCGAAAGGCCTTCAGCAAAGAGAAACCTTCCCCTCCATAAACACTACAGACAAATTAAAAATGGTAAAAGGGAAATCAAGACCTTTAAAGTTCAAACAGTTTTCGGTGCCTTTTAAAGTTTTTTTGCTCTAGGCCCTTGCAGAGAGCACAATCTTTGGAGACCTTGGGATTCTCTTTAATCACCCAGCCAGGCTGCAGTGGTCTGAAATGATTACACATTTACATAGTAATAACCCCAACACTCCCCACATTATTTCATGGCTAGCATATTTCCACTCGGCGAGTGATCCATGTGTTTTAAATTATAACCTGTACATAGGAAATTAGTTACTAAGTACGATATTCACGGGCTCGTCTGACACTTCTAATTAAGGTGATTTACACAGAATTATCCTACGAAATAAAAAAATGGTGTTTTGCTAGCTAATAAAATATAATTACTACCCGCTTTTATAAGTTACAGTTAGTTTTAATCTATTTGGGGAATTGTTTATCTAGTTCATTACAGCAAAACAACTTCTTTCCCTTTTAGGTAACCCCCTCCAAAGTACCAAAGACAAGAAATGCCCTGGAAAGACCCAGGGATTTGGGTAGCCTCCTTCTCTCTCTCTTCTGACGACTTTGCATTTCAAAGTGATACGAGGCTACTTCCTTGCTGGTTTCCTTTCTCAGGGCTGAGACACCAGTTCTGGCCCTGCATTCACGAATCCCCATGTGTTTGGGTGCCCTGCACCTCTCTGGGGACAAAATAAGGTCCCTGCTCTGGTGCTGCTGGAGGGCCCAGCCCTGCAGCTGCATCACCCATTAATGTTAACGGGAGCTACACAGCCAGGTCCCCATTGCCCTGGGGTGCTCGCTGGGGACGCATCGCTCCTCTATATTAGGGCACATCATCTTTAAGAGGAACATTTACTCTCAGCGAGGCCCTCCACAATGAAAGCACGACTCAGACATGCAGATATCATTTAACACTAGGCAGGGATTTGGTTAGGAGCATCCCCAGATGCCACTGGGAATCCCCTGGCATCTCCCTGAGTGAGCCCCAAGGGGCAGTTCTGACCCAGTGCTTCAGTCGTGAGGTCCCACAGGGCAGCTCAGCACACTGAATGTGTGCCCTCTTTAGTCACAGTTTTGGGGTTTCTCTACCCGTGTCATGGTTGCTATTACACACAATGACCTTTGGCTTTGTTTATTTGGTTATGGTCCTGCCTTCTGGGGTGTGCTTGCCATAGGAAAAAAAAAAAAATAAAAAAAGCAATATACAAGGAATAGTCCCTTATCATTCCCATAAATGGGAGCTGCTGCTTCCCACATGGAAAACCCAGGGCATGAGCTGCAGGTTAAGCAGACCGATTTTGTTTTACCATAAGCAAGGTGGTACTTGTCCTTTTCCTTTAAGCCTTCACTCTTACAAGCTGTTGCAGGAGTCTCAGCTTTCCTCCAGAAGAAAAAAGAAGTTTTCTGGGTGCCCAAGACAGGAGACAAGCAGAATCCCTGCTCCCCACAGAGGCACGACTCAGGGCATCCTCTCGGTGCCCAGAGCCCACCACACATAGGCAGGGCTCTCACTGACCCCCCGGTTGCCCCAGGGAAGCAGAGGCAGGAGACTGCTCCGGCAATGGGGCATCCCAGAGCGAGGGCTGGAAAGCTCTATTGCAATTGTAGCTACAGCTTAAGTGAGACTGAGAGAGAGAGAGAAATGTGCTCAGAGGAGAAATCTGAAAACAGAGCAGTGATGGGACTTGCCTGAAGTCTCAGCACAGAAAGAGCCCCAATGCTGTGCTTCATCCCGGCACAGCTGCTTGGGCTCCCCAAGAAACAAGATTTCTGCAGAGCCCACCACCCAGGGCAAGGCAGAGTTTATGATGAGTATCCATCAAGGAAAGGTTGAGCTCAATACCTGGCACAGCAGCACTCCCCACACAGAACTAATAACAACTGCCAAAGAAGTTCCTTGAACTCAGGCAGCTACAGTTGTTTGTGCTCATCCCTTAATTACATTGCAGCCAGAAGAGGTTTAAAGAGGTGGTAAGAGGGCTGCTACCATGCAGCTGGTGTCTTTTGGCCCTGCAACCCTTCCACAGAACAACTCTCAGCAGCCCTTGCGATTTGACAGGCAGCAGCCAGAGCACATGCAGCTCCCACATGAGATCCTGTAAAGCCAAAAGGTTTCTACAAGCCATAGCCAACTGATGTATTTCTTACCAAAAAAAAAAAAAAAAAAAAAAATCCAGTGGAAACAATTTATTTTTAGCTGCAAGACTCGTGGCTGGAACATGCCAGCCTTGGGACAGGAGCCCCAAGCCTCCCACAGAGCTGTGTGGACAGCATCGCCAGCTGTAAATAAGCAGTTGCTGGGTAGAGAGGGAATTGGATTTTTGTGGACACCAATTTAAATAAGTGGAAGTGTCACTTGAAGCCTAAATAAGGAATTGGGAGTTTGATTTATTTATTTATTTATTTATTTAAAATACACGAGGCCAAATCCTCACCTAGCCGCAGGTGACAGCCCCTGGTGTGGCTGGGCATGATTCGTGCCATCAGGGGAAGCTCACAGGGATTTTTAACCCGATGTGGCTCCTCTAGTGCA